TTGATCACAGAAGTCATTACAGCAAACAAGATAATCTCAGGAAAGCATATAAAACAAGAAGAAAAGGGACTCAGGGAAAAGGTACTAGAAGCCACTCCATCCATTTAGAGACCATCTAATAATTGTCAGATACTTGTCAAAACAGTGATCAACTTGAGCAGTGTGCAGCAATCCACAAGATGAAGAATTAAAACATCAGTAAGAAGATTTTCAGTTAATTGATGGGTGGGTTAATGTATGGGGCAGAGAGTGGAGATTATGAGTCCTGGCTGTTTTTCAAGAAGGCTGGTGAAGAATAGAATAGAGCAGATTAGAAAGTAGGTTAAAGAAAGAAAATCTTTCATGAAATATGGCTAATTCTACTTTTAAAATATCCAGAACCCTACCATTCCTCATTGTTTTTATTGTTAGCACCTTGGACTGAGCTACCATAATGTATGATTTATATTACATTAATATCTCCTAACTCAGGAAAGCATTTCGGAGGCTTTAAAAAACAAAACAAAACAAAACAAAAACGAAATTCAATTCACGTTTTTCCTCTGGTTAAAGTCCACTCAGAATAGAAGACTAAGATCCCTTCTCATTCCTAAAAAAACTCTGGGTAATCTGCCAAAACATATCGTTTCTGATGAGCTCACACAGGACTCTCCTCCCAACTCATTCTTCTCTAGGCCTCTTCACAGGCATTCTCCATCAATCTCATGTGTGTTTCCATGATGCTTCTTGGCCTCTGTCAATTTTAAAAATCCTATTTAAAATGTCACTTTTGAGTCCCTTAACTCTCTAACAGAAATTTGCTTATTTACTATCTTTACTGTCTACATTTGTCTCCACTTCTAGAATATGAGCTCCACAAAGATAGGAAATATTGTCTGTTTTGTATATTGATGTATCCCAATCTTATTACATTATAGCTACACATAGTAGGTTCTCAAGGAGTACCTATTGAGTGAGTAAATAAATGAGATATGGGGTGTGGAATGCAATCTCTAACATATTGTCAGTGTTATGAATTGACATTGCTCTTCTTGGAAGCAGATCTCATGTCTTACTCATTTTTTTAACTCTATCAAAGTGTATAGTTACTTAAAACTCAGTTTGTAATAAGTAAATATCAGTTCCTTAAGATAGGAGCTGTAATTTTTTTTTATTTTCAAATGCCAACCTGCAACATCATACCCAAGAAGAAGCAAGCTATTAGTCAGATGTTATCTGAGTAAATTACTATTAGAATTAGACTTTGTCCTTGTCCAAGGACATTGAGATGAAATAAATACTAAAATGGAACAGATTTGAATGTGTGATATCTTCTGCTCCTAGTCCTATATGGGAATATGATGATGATAGACCTCATTTCAACAGCATGCTTTTAACTGATTCAGGAGTGTATTGAGCTATTAACTACAATAAAAATACCCAACACCTGGTGGTGTTGACCCTATTTCATCAGGGTCACTACAAATCGAGATTCATAGAAAGCTAAAACTGAAGGAAAATACACTGCATGAAAATTTCAAATCTGGACTAAATGAGAGAAAAATGTAAAACTTTCAGCTCTTTAGAGCTAACTACAATTGACCCTTGGAAAATGCGGGACTTAGAGGCATTGACCACCACCTCCCATCTTCCCACACTGTTGAAAATACACATATGACTTCTGACTCCCCCCAAACTTAACTGCATATAGCCTACTGTTGACTAGAAGCCTATGGATAATATAAAGTCAATTGACATGTATTATGTATGCCATATATATCATATACTGTATTCTTACAATAAAGTAAGCTACAGGAAAGAAAATGCTATTAAGAAAATCATAAGGGAGACAAAATACATTTGTAGTGCTATAGTGTATTTATCTTAGAAAATACACATATTAATGGATTCATACACTTCAAACTCATGTTGTTCAAGGATCAAATGCAGTTTAATATTATCTAGTTGTTTTGTCAGTTAATCCAATGAAAGTTACAATGCATGAGCAAGAGATTTGCCAGAAATCTTTCCTTATGTATTACTTACTTATGTAAGTATTTAGCTTTTGTCCTTTTATGTTTCCTTTTTAGTTGTTGTAAACAAATTCTGAGGTCAATATGAATAATTAGTGACGCCTCTTTCTAAGTAAATAGGATGCAGAACTTTATCAAAAGGGCTTCTAGAATGTTTAGTCAATCTCACAGACAGCACACAGTTAAAAGGTTTCTGCAGGGAAGACTATTAATGTCATAGTTGATGCCCATAGGTTTATATTCTCCTTCAAGTTTGTCATATTAATTCCTTGGGCTGAAGGAAGGCTGGCAGATTGAATATACACTGAGCCATACAAGGAGAGACCAGTTCAGAAATGTAGATGGTTTTGGTTTTCTCTTTTAAGCACTGAGGATTGGAGGGTCTACCAGTACAGATTAGTTCAAATGCAGAGATGTCTTGGGTATCTCCCAGAAAACCTCTTATCATCTACTGCTTCTTGGTGGCCAATAAAAAACACAATTCTTTTTCTTTTTCTTTTTTTTTTTAAACTGAAGCAGCTTTTACTATATTTACATCCAACAAAACTTTGCAAGGAAAAAAACACAATTCTTATTTGTTCCATATTAATATTATATTAAGCTTCTCAATTCTACATGATAGGTCTTGATACAATGATAGTCTGGTTGGGTAAGTTAAAATCAAACATTTCATTTCTTCTCAATATGGCTACTATATTTATTATTCAAAAGTTGGGCTAATTTTTTTCAGGATCACCAATATATCATCTCTATCCCATATGTAATAAAATATGAAAATTTCAAATAGTTTTTATAAGACACAGAAAATGTGCTGCCTGAAAACATTATTGATTTTTTTGTTTCCATTTTTTTTTAATTTTTAAATTTCTGTGAGAATGGATGCTTATTTATAAGCTAGTGTTTCTAAATCAGGAGTGATTTTTGCTTCTAAAGGGGATAATGGAAAATGTAGATAGACGTTTTTGATTGTCACAATTAGGGGAAGAGGTGCTTTGGCATCTGGTAGGTAAGGGATAATAAGAAACATCCCATTGCTGCAGATACGTGCATAGGATAGCTGCCACAACAAAGAATTGTCTGGGTCAAAAAGTCAATAGTTTTCAGGTAGAAAAATTCTGTTTAAATAAATACTATAAAATATTTTTGAATACTTTTTTATTTATTATACTTGCAATATAAATATTACTGCAAGGAACACATTGATAACTCAAAGTCTATTTTACATTATTAAAATATGTGAAAGATAATGCATGTGAGTCTCCAATGTGTGCTTAGAAAGTAATTGCTTCATAATGGGAACTCATATTTTTATTGAAATAAAACAAAAAAAGTAAATAGCCCCTTATGATGGAAATATATAAAAAAACTTGATCTAAATAGTGAAAAATTCTTCCTTTCTCTGTGCATGTCACCATAATACATAATGCTTAGTATGAACACGAACCCCTGTATCTCATATTTGCGTTTAGAAGATGTAAAGAAATGCCGTAATAAAAACATCAAGAGATGGCAAATGGCAACTACACTACAGTAAGCACTTTGTGATGTCAAATTGTCAAATCACAATTAGTTTTACACCTGAAACTAATATAATACTGTGTGTCAACTATACCTAAAATAAAAAGAAATAAAAGAAAAAGTAGAAAGAAAAGAAGTAAGGATGATGGAAAGAAGGAAGGAAAGAAGAATAAATATATCCAGAGGGTGAGGCCTGGAAACTCTGACTTCTCATCTCCTCTGAGCCCAAGACTGGGTCACATATATCCACAAAATAAATTTCATTTTACTTAGTTAAATGATCAAAAATATGTTCAATTTTATTTTGGGGGAAGAGAAGTTACTGTTTTATGTCTTTGCTATGCTACTGATGATTTTTTTTTATAAAAAAAATAATTCCAAATTAATACCAATAACTAAGGTGTATTCCTAAACTCATAAAAGAAGTAGAATATGCATTTTCTAATAGCAACTGTATGATACATATGCATTGCTAAGAATGTTGTAGGGGAAAATACTGTGGCCCTTCAGAGGAAGTAGCAAGAGGAACTCAGGCAGAGTGGAGCTGAAAATTCAGGTTACTCCTCCTTTCTGTCACTGGGTGTTTCCTCAGACAGGATCATCTCAGGACTGAGGAGCCCAACTCAGTTGTTAGCCATAGTTTCTGTCTTTCTTCATCAAAAAATGTAATACCTTCATGGCACTCTTCTCTTTCATTTTTATTCACTCTTTTTTTTTCTGATACACATTTTTTTTCTCCACTAAATAATAAATAATCAGAGGGGTGCCTGGGTGGTGAAAAAAAAAAAGAGTCTGACTCGTGGTTCCAGCTCAGATCATGATTCAGGGTCATGAGATAGAGCCCCTCATTCAGCTCCATGCTCAGTGCAGTCTGCTTGAGACTCTCTCTCCTCCCTCTGCTCCTCCACTCGTGTTCTCTCTCTTTCTCAAATAGACAAATCCTTAGAAAATAATAAGGACAGAAATTGGACCTCATTTTGATTTAGCTCTTCTGTTCTTATACTGAGTCTTCTCTTTCTCTCATGCGCAGGATCTGCACTCTCAATATCTAGTCTCACAAGCCCTATGGATTTATATTGTTTCATGGAAAAATCTATAGAGCAGTGTTTAAAGATAAAATTAAAGCACATTTCTATTGGAGGCTTGCAGAAATACATTTCTCCCATTTCTTTGACCTAGGGTTTCTTATGGTATTACTTATGTCGACCAACACATAGCACATAGAACTTTGAAGAGTTCTTGAGGAACTTGCATAAAATAAATTCTGCTTACTTCTGGCACCAAGAGATCAAGAGAAAATGCAATATAAAGGCACCAGATACATGTGTGACATAGAACCACATCTGAATGGCTCGATATTAAATTTTATTTAATTGAGATACACAGGCCTTGAAGAATATTCTGAGAAGACTTAGTAACACTGGTTCTTTCTTCTTGGAGCATGTATCTCTTTCTTGTCTTCTGTCAGCTTTACTTCTGCAAGCAGCAATGAGTTGCAGGTCGCATGCAGAAAGCAATTCTAATTTCACTTTCATGGCACTCAAGTCTACATCGGCCATTACCCTTTCTGCACTGTCTCCTCAAATCCAAGCTACCATATTGGGGATATTTCTTTGTGGCTGTAAGAAGGAAAGAATGACTGAAATTAACAATTTAGCTATAACACACCTATATTTTAAAGGGAGAAAGTCCAAGAAGTAGAAAATTATTGTGTAGGCCAAAGGAAAATATCTCCCTTTTAATTAATGACTGGGAAAATCTTAGTGAGGAAAGTTTAGGTGAAGGTACCATCCCTTGGTGCAAAAGAAAATCCTGAAAATCAGAAAGTGTCTTGGACCTAAGTTAGACGTGCCAGCTTGCTTCCTTACAAGTCACTGTGTAGTAACTCAAGTATAGTTCCCCAAATCAACAGTTTAAAAAGTGCTCATAATTGACCTTCTCTCCACAATTATCCAATTGAATTTGAGCTCCCCTTTTCTGTTCTCACAAACATTATTTAGACAAAATGTTTTACTTTCTTGGTTCTTCGACAGATTTCTACTGCAGCTTGATTTTACTTTGCCAAAATGTTGAGTGGGAAGCAATGTTAAGCAATTTGTCTGAATTCGTACAACTCTCCTGGGTATTTTGGGATTTACTTCACCACAGAAATTATCTACCTTAGACACATGTCTGAAGACAGCATTGGTTAAAAAAATGGGAATGATTAGAAGGTGAGGCCAGCCATTATTGGGCATTACATGATTTCTAACATTGCCAGTGCTCTGAACTACATGTTTTATCTTGTAGCTTGTAGATTGACTTTCACTTAAGGTTAAAATTAAAGTAGCTGGAGATACTTGGGGAATTGGAAGATGTTGGTCTAATAGATTGTAAGATTCATTCCAAACCAAAAATACTTTAATTTTATATTTCACCATATGTGTTGACCCATGTGTTTTCAGAAAACCTATGTTTTCAAGTATTTTTTTAGACATATCACTTTTGATAAGAAATCATCTTACTCCTATAGTGAGATTGAGGGGAACTGGTGAGGGAGAATTCTAAATATTGCCAATAACTGACCAAAAGGCAGACAAATATTTTTTTATGTTCATAGTATGAAAGCAAATAAATTTTGCCACTAATTCAAACATTAATTAGGTTTGGTGTTCCAATCAGTAACTTTAAAGACCCAGCCTTTCTACCTAGACATGTAGTCTATGTTTCCAAGAGTTGGCGATGAGTTGTGATACTTCTTAGTGAATACCTAGACTCAGAGCTACATTATCTATATTATTAGTATAAATAGCTGATATAAAACTAGTTCTTCTATTAAAATTAGCTCTCTTCTTACTATAATTGAAGCAATGAAAAATATGACACAATTAACAGCAGAAAAAAAGTTACTTTGTGCAGAGTAAATGTTAACTTCTAAATGTCATCATTTATTGTACAGTTTCTGAGGAGTTACTGTTTTCAAACCGATGTATGAATTGCCAGTGACAGAAACCTGAATTATACTCACTTTAGACAAGAGGGCTATCACACTTATCACCATGTTGTTCAGTATTCCACCCTAAATTGGCCTCACTCCTTCTCTTATTCATTCTTTGGCTTTTTCACCTTTCTAAAAATATTATCTTCTTTTTCTCACTTTGAGCCCTACATATGTGTATTCCTCAGGCCTGTGTCTTTGAATCACTAATATTCATCCTTGTAAGCCCCCACCCACTCATTCAACTATAATATATATTCCCTGTTAAGCTCTAAACCAATCCCTAAGTGCAGGGTTTCTCACCCTAAACACTATTGAGTTGAATAATTCTTTGCCGTGGGATACTATCCTGTTGATTTAAGAATGTTTAGCAACATCCTTGGCCTCCACTCACTAGATGCCAATAGTACCAGTTGTGACAATTTAAAAAGTCTCCAGACATTGAACAATGTCCCTTTGGGGGGAAAGTTGCCTCTAATTGAAAACACTGCTTTAAGTGATTAAAATTACTTTTCTAGTGATGCCGTGATAAGCCAAACATATTATCTCCATCTTCAGATATATTGTTCAAATACTGTCTTCTCTGAAGTCTCTTCTGATCACTTTCAGGAAAGTAAGTCTCTTTACACTGCTTTCATAAAATCACTTCATACGTATCATTCAGATTGCATCTATCAACATGTTCATATGCTAAGGAATTTCTTTAAACAAAACATAAGGTTTTACCTAACATATAAGTTAGAAATGGGCAAGATATTTCCTAGAATATTTTTCAACCTATACTTTCTTTTTATTTTCACTCACCTGCTATTTTGTTCTTTAGGCTACCATTAAGCTTCTTGGAAAATGGGGGACAGGGGTGGGGAATAATCACTATTCTTTCAACACAAAATTATACTATCCTAGGGGCACCTGGGTGGCTCAGTCAGTTGGACATCTGCTCAGGTCATGATTCTGAAGTCTTGGGATCAAGTCCTGCATTGGTCTCCCTTTTCAGCAAGGAGTCTGTTTTTCCCTCTCCCTCTGACCTTCCCCACTGCTCATGATCTTGCTTACCTGCTCTCTCTCTCTCTCAAATGAATAAATAAAAAAATCTTAAAAAAAAAGCTATACTATCCCACATTCAAATTACATGTCAGATTTGAAGAGAAGTGATTATTGGCAATAACAATTTTTTTCAGTGTGGCAGATAAACTAAAACAATAGATGAGAGTGAAACAACATCCCAGTTCTAGACATTTGGTGCATTTATAAGCTCTCAAAATGAGGAGGAAAGTGAAGTGACTTCAGTGGAAATTTTCCTGTGTAGACAGTTTAGTGGCTTATATCTGGACATCTCTTCATCTGTAAGCATCCAAGTTGGAAAAAAGAATGAGGTTTACTACCTCAATTTTGAGTAAGGACTTCTATACTTTGCAGGTGAGATGCGAAAAACAACTGAAGAACTCTAGAAGAGTCATACATATAACATTTTATGCAATTTAAATCAACCACCATATGATGAACTGTAAGTTGAAAGACAACATCCTTATTGCTTTATTATTTTTTACAATGTCTATATTTCCTATCACAACTTTTCTAAAGTTGTAGAAAAAATATGTAACTTGACATATATATATATTTTTTTACTTTGAGATTTTTTTTGTCAGTAATGGTGGTTCTAAAAGTTTGGTTGATATGTGATTAACAAGTACAATGGCTTTCCTTTGAAAATAAAAGAAAAAAACATACAAAAAGTTAATAACACTGATGTTGTAATCTATGTTACTGTATCCCCAACTGGTTTTTAATCTCTAAGTCTACGGACACATGATTTTTCCAGTTTGTTGATGTACGAATAGCTTTCACTATTGGTAGATACACCTGATATAGCTCTTACAAAGGAAAAATAAGTTACTAAAACAGAAAAAAGCTTGACATAATTATCTATTCATGCTAGCTATTGTTGAAATTAAAAGAAGAAAAAGATTTATCACATGTTAAAAGCTGTATGAATCTGTATAGAATTTCTTTTTGGCCCTTTCTAGAAAGAGCTGGGAAAAAAATCCAGAGATCTTTTTGAATTTTTGAGTGGAGGGAATTTTTGAACAGAGAGAAAGGAAGTTATATTCTCTTAGTTAGATGAACAATGGATTGTAATTTTTTGTTACTTTAGTGATGCTGGTCTCTATTTAGAATTTTACCCACTTGCAATTTTTAAATGATATTTATCATTTAATTGTGTATATATTTTTAGATCATCAATATGATTATATAATATTTATAATGAAAGAATAAGCTAATTTACTCTCCTAGGCCTCTATTGTGATGTCTATTGGGGCTAAAGAAATCAGCCAGGAACTAAAAAGAATATTTTCTGAAAGTAGTAAAATTTGAATCTAATTTTAGTGCCAATTAGGTAAACTTGAGCTAATCCTTTCATCTTAATTTCTTTAAAAAAGAAGGTAGTAGACTCCATGATCTCTTCTTTTCCAAAATGTATTATTATATTTCCTTACAAGTCATACTTACATATTAACTCAGGAGGAGAGAATCTTGTTACATAATTGGTGTGAAAAGGTAGCCTTTGAGGGTAGAAAAAAAACTCATGAGAAACAGCTTGTGTACAAGGTGTTATACTCAACATCCATGTGATCTATAGCACTCAAAGACAGAGAGGTAGTGACCAGGACTGTATATATAAAAGCTAACAAAGGACATGATTTGTCTGTATACCTAGAGCAGAAGAGTAAGAAAGGCTTCTGCTCACTGGAAGTATTATACTGGTATAGAACGAAAGGAAGGAAAAGCTAAATAGATCTTTCTCTGGCACTGAACCATCTATCCCTTATCTGTTGTTTATCATACAGAATATTTTTCTTCCAGTAAGAATAAATTCTAACAAATTGTTTCAGGATAAAGCTGACAAGACTAATGTATTTATCTAATTGTTTTAAACTTTTTATTTCGAAGTCAGTTTAGATTTATAGAAGAGTTGCAAAGGTAATAGAGGCGAAACTCTCATTATGGTAACATCTCACATAACCATGCTTACATTATCAAAACTAAAAAAATGAACATTGATAAAATACTATCAACTAAATTGTAAATTTTATTCACATTTCACCAGTTTTCCCACTATTGTCTTTTAAAAACATTTTTTTTCCTCTTCTGGGGTCCAAGCCAGAGTACCACATTGCAGTTCATATAAAAATGTTTTAATCCCTATATTATTACTATACTTTTAACAAGAAACAACTTATGTCTCCTCAAATTCATTAGCACAAATAAGTCCATAAACATTTCATGTTACCTGGTAAAATTGTGACCCAAAAGAGCAGAATAAAGAAAAAGAGATGAATCTTCATGGTGGAATTTCTTAGGAAAAAAAATAAATGTCACCAGATCTTTTTAAAGTCAGGTGTTTCCAAATAAGAAAAGAGAGAATCCTTTTATTTTTATATTCTCCTAGGAAGTGGTTTTAACTACTGAGGCTTATCAACAGTGAGAACATTTGTATGCTTGGTTGAATTGTGTCATGCTCAAAGAACACAGTCACAAGAATTATTATTAAATTTTTCCCATAAAAGTAAAATCTGCTTCTGTTACCTTAAATAGATTCTCCTGAAAACACAAACTTTAAGAGACTTGTAGAAGAAATGTGCTTGTATTGCTAAAACATCAGGGTGGAAATGTTATAGCAATATATTCCTCTATTTTATGTTACATGATGTTAAATATTCTAATATTTTTAATATTAAATTACTGAAAAAAATAAATTACTGAATGTCTGAAACATTGGAATTTTATAGCTATACGTTTCCATTGAGATCACTTTTGTTTACAGTTGAGAACCAGGGAGGTGGAATTGTTTATTTAGATTAATATCTGTGTAATTATTTAAATGTAACTTGATCAAAATATTCTGGATTCACTAATGAATATGGGAAATACTGTACACAATAGATTTTTAAGTATGACTTAAAATTTCAAAGACTTAGGAATTTCCTATAATAAATTATCTGATTTCACAATTCTAATGTCTACTGTTTTTTAATTCTGCTGATGAAACTGAAAGTGTATTTAATCCAATTTGCATATTGCCCACATCTGTCATTTCACACATAGGAGGAAAAGCTGGAAGTTTTGCACAATACCCAGAAGCCGATGCTGTTAGCATCGGAGAACGGAGAACAGCTAATTGATCCTCTCCTACCACCAAGTCAAAAGATTTTCTAGGACAATGGTTCTTAAACTTTAGCTGCATCACAATCCCCTAGAGGGCTTGTTAAAAACAAATTGCAAGGCCCCACCTCCAGTATTTCTGATTTAGTAGGTCTAGAATGGAGTCTAACAATTGTACTTCTAACAAGATCCTGGAGTGCTAAAACTGCTATAAAGGGCCACATATTACTCCAAGAAACCTGATTCATTCAAACTACTAACCATCAGAAAACTGAAACCCAGGGTTGTAGAATCTGTCATAGATGGGTAAAGAATGTAAGGCTGCTTAGAGATAATCACACCCCCTCATGTTACAGATGAGAAAAGTGAAATCAAAAGAGATTAATTTACTTGCCTAAGATTCATTATTCTTTACCAAAAAATGTTTCAAATAATAAAGTTCTAACAGAAACTGGATTTAAATCAAATGTGAGGAACTTGAGATAGTTTTGCTTTTTTTCTGGAAAAGAAAAAAAATCCCTGAAAATTCAGCCTCAGCTGATAGGAAGAAGACCACTTTAATGTATCACTATGCAACATTTATTTAACGAATAGTTATTGAGCACTAAAATTTGCCAAGACAGGCAGCCTGGGTGGCTCAGTGGTTTAGCGCCTCCTTTGGCCCAGGGCCTGATCCTGGAGACCTGGGATCAAGTCCCACATCCGGCTCCCTGCATGGAGCCTGCTTCTCCCTCTGCCTGTGTCTCTGCCTCTCTCTCTCTCTCTCTCTCTCTCTCTCTCTCTCTCTCTCTGTGTGTGTGTGTGTGTATGTCTTTCATGATTAAAGAATTAAAAAAAAATCAAGGAATGGACAACCTCAAAGAGCTTTTATAAAAGATTAATAGAGTTAATTCAAGGAAAACATTTAGCAAAAGATTCAATACATGTGACTGGAAACACTATCTATTTGTGCTATTTTTAATGAAAGCCCCTATTAATGACTGTTTAAACCCAAAACTCAAGTAGTCATAGGCACAGAGACTTGAGACTGTTAGTACTGGGTTTTTGTTCACTAAAACTCAAGTGAAGCAGACACAAGACTTAGAGAAATAGAAGCATAGAAAAGCATTTACCCTGAGCACTCTTTTTAAACTTGTGTTATTATTTAACCTGTAATCTAGTTCTCAGAGGATGAAACGATTAAGCATGTTTGGAATCTTCTCAAAATTAGGAACCTGTTATGCTCACTTTATCAAACAAGGGCCCATCTTCTGGTAATTCTTTCTTTCCTTTTTATTTTTCTTTTTTTGAAGGGGGGAAGGGCAGAGGGAAAAGGAGAGCAAGACTTCTAAACAGGTTCCACATCCAGCACAGAGCCCCACACAGAGTTGACCTCACAACCCTGAGATCATGACCTGAGCCAAAATCAGGAAGTGTGCCACTCAATGGACTGAGACATCCATGCACACCTTCTGGCAATTCTTAATGTTTGATACTGTTTATCAGCAAGTCTTCCTGGAAACAATCTCATCCTTTGTATGGTTTATGTTTGTTCCTCCTTCACTTCTTTGAAAGTTCTTTACTTTGTACCTTTCCTTTTCCTGCTCCATAGATTGGGAATTCCTAAATATTGTGTCCCCAATTTTGCTTTTTTGTTCTATCCAGATATTCATACAGTCATTTCTTTAATCTTTATTGGGCTTTTACTATATGTCACATAATCTGCTGTCCCCTAGGAAGATGGAGAAACAAAACAGATGCTTCTGCCTTCATGGAACTTGCTTCAAACCAAATCTCATTCAGCGTATGTGACATCTTCCCTGAATACTTTTTAAAAAGTGAAAAAGAAAAAAAATAAATAATAAATAAATAAAAAGTGAGTATTTCCTCTTTTGAGAGCAATAGTATTTATTTGTTTTATTTTATTTTGATTTATTTTATTTTATGTGTGTTTGTATGTATTGTTTATAAGCTACAGAAATTTATTTCTTGCATTCCTGGAAGCTGAAAAGTATAAGATCAAGATGCTGGCAGATCTGGTGTATGGTGAGGGTCTGCTTCCAGTTTCATCGATGGCTGTCTTCTGGTTGTGTTTTCCCATGGCAAACGCACAGAGGGAGCTCTGTGGGGCCCCTTCTGTAAGGGCACTAATCCCATTCATGAGGGTTTCATGACCTCCCAAAAGCCTTACCCCCAAATACCATCACATTGGGAATTAGGTTTCAACATATAAATTCTGGGGGGACACAGACATTCAGTCCATAGCAGGCACCAGTGTGGTAGAAGGTATCCACAGGAAATATCCTTCATCCAGCCATTCTTTGCATGCAGAGTCACCTCCAGGTGACATTAGCCTCTGGATGTCAGGTTAGGTTAATACCCTTGACTGAGATAAAACAACCATCCTTCTTCTTATTTCCATGGGAGGTACTTTAAGGGTTAGAAAGCATGTCCAATAACATCCTTAAAATATAAACCATCTCAATATATATAATCTCCTTTCCTAGAGCACTCCTCACCTAGACATCTTAGGAGAGCTATAGTAGATACAGATGTTTTTCTATCTCTCACTCTCTTCTGTTGTTGTTGTTGTTGAAGTATAATGACATATAGCATGACATTAGTTTCAGGTGTACAACATAATTATTTGATATTTGCATACATTATGAAATGATCACTGTATTAAGTATAGTTGATACCCATCACCATACTTAATTATACTTTTTTTTCCTTGTGATGACAACTTTTAAGATCTACTTTCTCAACAACTTGCAAATAGGCAACACAGTATTATTAACTATAGCCATTGTGTTGTACATTACCTCTCCATGACATTTATTTTATAATCACAAGTTTGTATCTTTTGGCTCTCCTTACCCATCATAGTATTTTATTTGAATCACTGTAATGGCACATATTACATTTTACCTTGATATGGAATTTCTTTAATACACAATCATACAAACCTCAGAAAAGGAAGAAAGACAGTGAAAATACCTGATAGGAAATTTCTTCTCAGAAAAAAGGTAAAGACATCTGTCTAGACAGAGTTATATCATAGAACTATTTCAATGAAATTCCTACTTCACTTCTGAACAGGTTTAAACCTCCAACAAGCTAGAAGAAAAAATATAACATTTAAAATAAAATAATAAAACAAATGTTGTGTCAACCTAACCATCAGGTATTGGTTAACTATAAGCCATACATCACTTTCATTGTTGTATTTTCAGTTTTTCTTTTTCCCTTCCAGATCATGACTCTCCAGATTGTATGATGGAAATGAATGACTGTAGTTATTGCATAGAATAAAACACAGAGGGGAGAGAGAGAGAGAGAGAGAGAGAGAGAGACAGAGATTCATGAAATAAGGAAACAACCTTTTAATCTTAGGCATTCCCTAGCAAGTGGTTCTGACTACTGAGGCTTATCACTTGAGACCATTTGAATTTTTTGTTGAATAGTGTCATATACAAAGAACTTAGACTGAGAGAAAGTCTATTTTATTTTTGTGTGAAATATCATCTGTCTGTACTTCTCTTAAAATGACCCTTTTTGCAGAAGATGCTAGGGCCATTATAATTCCATTAGTAGTGGATTTAACTTACTAAAAAATCAAGGTAAAAATGATATCTCAGTGATCTCCTCAATCTTTTACACACGTTTCAAAGACACTTCCCATTCTAATATCAAAATGTTCAAAATACTTAATATTATGACACCTAGGAACCTAGAGTTAGAATTTACCAAAGAGAATTTTTTATTACATAGATGTACACAGTGAGATCCAGATAAGATGAGTAATTTATCATAGTTCCTTTTACATATATTGATTTTAAATGTATATGCTACTAAGTATGGGGATTTGCTAATAATTCAAAAGTCATCCTAACCCACTTAAGTATACCTTCTAAGCAGAACTATGCATAGCATGGCATAAAAGTCTTATTCACGAAACCCAGTACTATGCTCTGATTTTTGCTGTGTATTCTCAGAGATATATTTTTCTAAGATTTTATTTATTCGTTCATGAGAGACACACAGAGAGAGGCAGAGACACAGACAGAGGAAGAAGCAGCTCCATGCAGGAGCCTGATGTGGGACTCGATCCCGGGACTCCAGGATCACGCACTGGGCGGAAGGCAGGCGCTAAACTGCTGAGCCACCCAGGGATCCCCTCAGAGATATTTCTGATCCAGTCCTC